TTTAGTCTATCCAAAGGTGAAATATTATTCAGTCATAAAAAGAAATGAAGTACTGATGCATGTCTACCTTGAAAACATTATACGAACTTGAAAACATTATAAGTGAAAGAAGCCAGTCACAAATACCCACACATTGTATGATTCCATTTATATGAAATGTCTGGAATAGGCAAATAATGAGAGAGTGGTTGCCTGGGGCTGGGGGTGGAGGGAATAAGAAGTGACTACTAATAGGTATGTTTCTTTTGGGGTGATAAAAATGTTTTAAAATTAGATAGTGGTAATGGTTGCATAACTCTGTGACAATATAACACTAAAAATCCTTGACTAATTGCTCAAGGTCAGGAGTTCAAAACAGCCTGAGCGAGACCCGTCTCTACTATAAAAATAGAAAGAATCAATTGGCCAACTAATATATATATTAAAAATTAGCCGGGCATGGTGGCTCGTGCCTGTAGTCCAGCAACTCGGGAGGCTGAGGCAGTAGGATGCTTGAGCCCAGGTGTTTGAGGTTGCTGTGAGCTAGGCTGACGCCACGGCACTCACACTAGCCTAGGCAAGAAAGCGAGACTCTGTCTCAAAAAAAAAAAAAAAAAAAAATCCTTGACTAATTCACCTTTAGATGGGTGAATTATATGCACATAAAAGTCTCAATAAAGCTGTTTTTCTCCGTTTTTTTTAAGAGCCTAATGTAGAAAAAAGCAAGGGAAGTTTAAAATCCAAGAGGCTCAACCTTCAAAGTAAGTTTGAGGTGGCAAAATAGGAAGTGAAATATTTCTATATTTAGATTTGATATTCTAACTTTAGTAAGAGCCTAGACTTGTAATATTATACTTAGCGTTCTATTGTCAGACATACCCCTATTGTCCTTTTCTTGACAAGAACTACCTTTATTGGTTTTGTTTTAAAAATGTATTATGTATTGAGTACACTAAAAATGAGAGTCTTTTTTTTTTTTTTGAGACAGAGTTTTGCTTTGTTGCCCAGGCTAGAGTGAGTGCCGTGGTGTCAGCCTAGCTCACAGCAACCTCAAACTGCTGAGCTCAAGCAATCCTGCTGCCTCAGCCTCCCGAGTAGCTGGGACTACAGGCATGCACCACCATGCCCGGCTAATTTTTTCTATATATATTAGTTGGCCAATTAATTTCTTTCTATTTATAGTAGAGACAGGGTCTTGCTCTTACTCAGGCTGGTTTCAAACTCCTGACCTCAAGTAATCCTCCTGCCTCGGCCTCCCAGAGTACTAGGATTACAGGCGTGAGCCACCACCCCTGGCCGAGAGTCTTTTATTTATGTTTATGTGATGCCTATAACCAGTGTCCCCAAAGTGTTAGAATAGTTTTATTTTGTTACATGCAGTGGTGCACTTTTTCCTCTACTGTGTTCCTCACAACTATAACATTTGGGTGCCCAGACTGTGAGAACAGACTGCCAGGACTCTCAATCAATGTGAATTGGGAGAGGCACTAAACCTCAGGTTTTCTTTCTGTAAAAGGGGGGTGGAGGTAGAAATCTTATACACTTTATATTGTTATTCTGAAAATTAAAGGAAATAATGCATGTAAGGTACTTAGCACAGTTGTCTAGCACATAGTAAATGATCAAACTGTAGTACAGCACTGATTTATAGCAACAGTTAGTAACAGAGGGTTGAGATTATTAAGAAATGGGTGAAAACAAGGTTGTAATGTGGCTAAAAAGTGAGTACTGTATTATTACAGCATCCTAAAAGCAAATGAGGGCTGGAAGGAGATATATTATGATTCTCAGTTTTGTTAACATTAGGCAACTATATTGGATATGGAATCATGGCATTTGGATAGTTTTCAGCAATTATTGCTAGAAAACTCTTTAGAGAGGCTTTGCTATAGATAAGACTGTGAAGTTGCATGGATATTTTTCAGAGAACAAGATGTGATTCAAGTATTGCTACAGAGAGCTAATATTTTAGGCCATATTTCTTTTTTTTTGAGACAGAGTCTCACTCTGTTGCCCAGACTAGGGTGAGTGCCGTTTCGAACTCCTGACCTCAAGCAATCCACCTGCCTTGGCCTTCCAGAGTGCTAGGATTACAGGCGTGAGCCACCACGCCCGGCCTAGACCATATTTCTAATCAGTGGTATCATATGATAGACATGTTGCTTTCACAAATCATGCCTTTAATTTGAACAACAAAGTCTGCCATGAAATCTCCTTTCCTCCTTCTGTGATATTTATTCCAGCCAATATTTTCCTACTGAGAGTAGCAGGAACTTTAAAGTATTTTAATATTTAATATTCAGTAATTAATATTTTAAGTTATTAGGATAAATGAAACATTAGCAAAAATAATAAGTTATAAAATAATGATTGAAAGATGTAAAAGACTTACCATCTTAAACTTTATTTGTATACTTTAAAAAGGGGCTTTAGGCTGGGCGTGGTGGCTCACGCATATAATTCTTGCGGGCGGATTGCTCGAGGTCAGGAATTTGAAACCAGCCTGAGCAAGAGCGAGACCCTGTCTCTACTGTAAATAGAAAGAAATTAATTGGCCAACTAATATATATAGAAAAAATTAGCCGGGCATGGTGGCACATGCCTGTAGTCCCAGCTACTTGGGAGGTTGAAGGAGGAGGATCGCTTGAGCCCAGGAGTTTGAGGTTGCTGTGAGCTAGGCTGATGCCACAGCACTCACTCTAGCCTGGACAACAAAGTGAGATTCTGTCTCAATAAATAAATAAATAAAAATAAAAATGGGCTTTAAATTTTTTCTGAATCAACCAAAATTCCATGAGAGAACAAAGAGGGAGAAGGGAATTGGAAGTGTTTGCAAGATTCTCCCCTTTCCTGCAAATGTTTAATCATAACAATTTTATGGTATCTTTTTTTTTTCTTTTGGTATGTCTGTGGAATTATGGTATCTTAATAGGTAAATTCAGGAGCATAAGTGAACCTCAGAAAGTCATAGCCAGACAATTCTTCTATGTGTAGCTTATTTTTAAATATTCCTATTGTAATGATGCTTGGTGGTCATGAAGATCTGTTCGGAGAAACTAGAGATCTGCAATGGAGGAGAAAAATGACTAATGACAGATGACAGACCCATCACATTCCCCAGATTGTAGTATGAGTGGCCAAGTTATTTAACCTCTTTTTTTTTTTTTTTTTTTTTTTTTTTTGAGACATGGTCTCACTCTGCTGCCTGGGAAAAACTACAGAGGCATCATCATAGCTCACTGCAACCTCCAACTCCTGGGCTCCAGTGATCACTCTTGCCTCAGCCTCCTGAGTAGCTGGGACTTCAGGTACACGCCACCAGGTCTGACTAATTTTTCTATTTTTTGTAGAGATCAGGTCTCGCTCTTGCTCAGGCTGGTTGAGAACTCCTGAGCTAAAGTGGTCTTCTCACCTTGGCCTCCCAGAGTGCTGGGATTACCGGGGTGAGCAACTACACCTGGCCTCCTTAACTTCTTTGTGCTTCATTTCCCTTACCCTAAAGTAGGAATAATAATATCTTTCTTACAGAGTTGATGTGAAGATTAAATGAGATCACACACATAAACTGCACTAAGCGCATAGTAAAATATCACGTTTTATTGACATGGTTATTATTGCAGAAACTGGAAAAAGATAAGAAGAGGAGCTTTAGTTGATGTCTCAAAGATGCAGATATTAACAGCCCTTGGTGAAGAAAAATGATTGTTAAAGTATGGAGTTCTTCCCAACTGCACTTGAGTTATTTTCAAAGGGTGGGAAGAGTATGGTCAAAAGCTCCTTGTCGTGATAGGATGCACAAGAGCCAGAGCCTGTGGAAGAAAGGGTGAAATAAGGGTGTGCATGGAGGTGAGAGGGAGTGGAACTAAGGCAACAGGGAAACAAGTGACTTTGAGTAGTGGGAGAGGATTGAGAAACAAGAAAACCATGAGGCTTGCTGCCACATGCCTGTGATATGACTCTGTCTTCTATTTTCCCTCTTAAAGAATTGATTTTCAGAAATTGATAAGATTACAATCAGCCATATTACATACCCCGACATGCAACAATGTTTAAATTATATTGGAAATTGAATAACTGACTGGCTTCTATCAGGACAGAGCCAGGATCAATGAGTTGATGTCAAATTTCATAGTGGAGTTAGAAGACTGATTTAGTGCCTGGCGCTAGCACTTACAGAGGTGTGAACTTGCTAAGACATTACACCTCTGAAATGGTTTCATCATCTGTGAAAAGAGGGAAAAGATTTACCTAACAAGATGTTGAGATTGTCATTCATAGCACTTGCCAAATAAGAGGTGTATTTTCTATTATATTTTGTGTTAATGGCAAAGGGTTTAAAAATTTTGATATATTTAAACACAATGTTACTAAATGTGTTTCAATATGCACTGACACTACAGTATCTTAATGAACTATAATATTATCAACCAATATCGATGCTTTTAGTCATTACTAAATTAATTCGCTGACATGTTTTCCTACCCTCACTGCATTTCCCTGCACATATACAGTCAAAATGCTCTAAGTTATTTCTTGGGCACATTTTACAAACACCATAGCCACCTAAACCTTGGCTTGCCAGACACTAACGGACAATTAACTGGATGATTCTAGAAAGTGTTTCCACAAACAGTGCTTTTTGGAGACCTGCCCAGTGTCTAGTGCTGCACTATCAGGAGTTAACAACTCTTAAAGCACCGATGGCAGCCCGGCCAGCGAGCCCGGGAAAGGCGCGCAACAGATCCATTTGATCGTTCAAGTTGTCTTTTTGGCTAGTTCATGTCCTCCTGAGAGGAAGTATTGTCCCCGTCACATTAAACAGAAGAGCCTCGATTCATTATAGAGGGTGAAGGAGGGCGACTCCAGCCACTGGGCACCTAGGGACTTGGCCGAGACCGGGTCCTGCCCACTAGAGGCCAGCGCCGCACCTCAGCAACACCTCCTCCCCCGGAAGTTTGTGTATTTCCAGATGTAAGGTCTGGGAGTCACCTTGACCCTCCTGGAGCGGTGGGGAAAGTGAGCTATGGGCAGGAGGCGGGGTGAGTGAAACCAAAGACCGAGCACTTTCGCGAGCAAAATACGCCGTCACGCTTTCCTGGTTTCAGGGTAGCCGAAGACCTAGAGAGTTTAAGGGTGGCAAGAGCAGGTGGCAGGGCTCCGCCCACCACCACCACGCATCCCCTCCTTCAGCGCGCACGCTTCACTCCCTCCGTGAGGTCCCGCCTCTTAGGCGAGCGCGAAGAGTTGCCGCGCGATGCATTCTGGGAATTGTAGTCCCGGTGCAGGGAGTCGCCTCAGGAGAAACTGTTCTGGCCTACATAACCCAGGGTGCCCTGCGGCGCAGGCCGCTCCCGGATGTGTGCCTGGCGCCGGAAGAGAAGACAGCCCCCCTCTCTCGGCCCGGCCATCTTGTGGGAAGAGCTGAAGCAGGCGCTCTTGGCTCGGCGCGGCCCGCTGCAATCCGTGGAGGAACGCGCCGCCGAGCCACCATCATGCCTGGGCACTTACAGGAAGGCTTCGGCTGCGTGGTCACCAACCGATTCGACCAGTTATTTGACGACGAATCGGACCCCTTCGAGGTGCTGAAGGCAGCGGAGAACAAGAAAAAAGAAGCCGGCGGGGGCGGCGTTGGGGGCCCTGGGGCCAAGAGCGCAGCTCAGGCCGCGGCCCAGACCAACTCCAACGCGGCAGGCAAACAGCTGCGTAAAGAATCCCAGAAAGACCGCAAGAACCCGCTGCCGCCCAACGTTGGCGTGGTTGACAAGAAAGAGGAGACGCAGCCACCCGTGGCGCTTAAGAAAGAAGGTAAAGCTGGGGTAGAATGTGGGGGAGACCGGGATGGAGGGAAGGAGCGAGGGGACTTGCAGATACCACTTGTTTCTGGAGCGAAGAGGCTCCGCGGGAGACTTTGCCGCCGATTTCCTCACGTTTCTCCCACGCTACAGAAGCCAGGTCTTGCAAAGGTGCTGGGAGCGTGATAGCCCCAAGTTCAGGCTACCACCTGCAAGGTTCCCGGAGCCACCCCCTTCCCGCCTCAGGTTCTGAGCGGAGAAGCGTGGTCCGGTGATGAGCTGCTGGAGCATGCTCGCGGCCCTGGGAGGCTGTTGCCTTCCCGCCGGATTCCTTGGCGGGCTAGCGCATGGACTGAGTTGAGGGGAAGCCAGCCACTTACTGAAGCTTTCTGTAGTTACTGAGAAGCATGGGATCCACAGCTGCTTACTGCGCGGAGCTCTTCCTCGGCGTGCTCCTGTGGGGTGCTGTTGTCTGTTCTAGGCTTCTGTCCTGCCATCTTGTCCCACGATGGCGCGGAGTACCCCCACTGAAAAGCTGGGAGTCGTTCGGTATCTTCTATCAGATACTGTGGAGTAAGCAGCAGTTTGGGGTGCCACATGTGCATGATTTATTGTTTCTCCACCCCTCAACTGTTATAGTCTTATAACTTGCTAGAGTGAGTTTAGCTGTTGGGAAGTAGGGGAGTTTGGCTATACTCAATTAAGCAGAAAAGGGAATTCCTAATGGAGACTAGTTTATTGCAGGACATCATGAGGCTCGCCCTCGTGTCACTATCTTTTCTCCCGACCTCAGTATTTCCTATGGTGTGGCCTGACCTGAGCCTCGTGGGCAAAATGGGTGTAGAGGCTGTCACAACGTTAGTCTCAGCTGAGCTCTTTATAGTCTGTAGCTCCCCCCGCCCCATGTGCGTGAAGCATGCTGGATTTCACTGGCAGTATAAAGTGCTTCGAAGGCACTGTGAATTGCACAGGATTGCCTTGTTTTTTTATAATTCTCATTACTGGTTTGTTGTGGTTGAAAAAGAGCGAAACTCTTGGGGGTAAGAAAAAGCATTCATGATCAATAGCAAGAAGGTGTATAGGATCGAAGCTGTAACTCTTTAAAGTTGCCGTTACATGTGTTGGAAGTTGAAATTACTGCTTATTGCCAGGTGCCCCTGAAAGGCGTCCTCGTTAGCTTTAGTTGAATTCTGTAGCATTCAACTGATTTTAAAAACCAAAACAACTTAGGTTTTGCTTTAGGAATTTCTTTTTGAGAACTTTTGTGAGGCTTGAAATGAAGATGCTAGGACATAAGTGGTAAATAGAACAAAGTAATTAATTCTTTTGTTAAAATTATAGGTTGGGGAAGAGCACAGCTGAAGTATTAGAAAGCATGTATACATCACTTAGGCCAAGTATCTGTTCAGCCAATTAAGCTTTATGGCAGTCTAGCACAGTTGAATAAATCATTCAGTTTCTGTGTTAAAGAACACTGGCTTGTGTAATTATTTAAACTGTGTTTAAGTTGGCCTCCTTGATCACACTAATCCAAAAAGTAAGTACATGAAAATTTGAGTATGAAGCATGAATCTAAAATGTACCCGGTAGATCTGTTCACTCATTTCGAATGTTCAAAGCACGAAGTGTGGTTTAAATGCCTCAGTTTTGATTATGAAGCCCATCTAAAATAAACTCTTATGTGGAAACTAGTATTTTAAGTTATGAACGTGGGGAATTATTGCTTAAATTTATAAACAGGACTGAGTTCGTCAATCTTAGGAAAACTATTCCTAACATTTTCCTTAGGTCAGTATTTCAGAGCACTCTCACCTTTAAGTTGGATAAAACAAGCTTATAAATACCGGGGAAATGTTGGATGAAAAATGCTCCTTTTGAGATCTTACCCATCTGTCAGTCATTTTCTGTGCGCTGGAGATGTATCTGTAAACAAAGTTCCTCCTGGTTATAGCAGGAAAGATTGTTAGCCTGACTTTGTGATCTGTGATTTTGTTAATATTCACACAATGCTAGACATACTTCAGATAGGTAATAATGTTTGTCATATGAATTAATTTTGTAGCTGCTTTTTATCCTTTTGAAAAACTTGAGAATTGACATGATAGAATGTCACTGCATGTTAGACCTGGGGGTGTGTGTGAGTGTTTAATAATAAAAGCCTCGAATCTAGTGCAGTTAGCTTGCAAATTATAGATAAGCATATCAAAAGAACCTGGCAGTTTTTAAAATATCAATCAGTTTTCATTAGGCGAATTTATTTAGTAAGTTTTTAGATTCTGTAAGCCTAATACTGAAATAGTGGGTGGGGAAGCAAACCACTGTTCATTTGGGTGTGTTTGGCTTGGATATCATTATAAGGACTGGTTCCATAGCTCCACCCCAATACGCTATACTTTGATGAAATTTATTTAAATTACTTGTTGTAAGGTCTAGCATATGGTCTATCCTGAGAGTTTACAGGGAGTGAATCCTAAAATGTTACTGTTTGGCTCTAGTTACAGGCAACTGAACAATTGGGTGTGTCCTGATGGTGTTCCACTTTTCTTAGAAAGAACCAGAGTGAAGCAACTTAAGATCTTGTAAAACCAATTCTTCAGCTGCTATTTGACTTTGTCAGAAATTGGGAATCACAGCATACCTGCAGTCTTACATTTATAAAATTTAACCATCATTCTGATAATTCATATTGGTTGCCTTTGTGGGCTTCAGGCGTGACAGGAAAAAAGCAATAAGGGAGGAAATCGCTAAATGCTTCAGCTTCACTTAGTGCCACAGGTTTCCTATTTCTTATATACTGCTTAAAGGGATCATTTTGTGTGTGTATTTGGCTTTTTTAAGATTCTTTGAAAACAAAGATAAGATGGTTGTAAGGGCAAATCTTTAAAATGTCTCTCTCTATCCATAATAAATAACTAAACTATTTCCTAGAGGTTATATTATAGTATTTTTAAAAGTTGGGAGGGGGTAGTATGTGTACATAAAGACCTGTGTGTGCACATACAGTTGTTTATATATATATATACACACACACAGAATTTAAAATTTTTTTTTATTTTTTTTTTAATATTTCCATTTGATTTTTTTTGGCCGAAGGAACTTAGAAAACACTTGTTGTATATTTTTAAATGATAGAAGGGAAGATGACACTTTCTGGTTAAATAGCTATTTTAAATTGGTGGCATGTTTTCTAGTAATCCTAAATGCCATTTGCTTTCCTTTCAGATTTGTAATTTCATAGAATTATGAGTTACTGCATTTTCTTCAGATTAGATAGAATAAAATAATGTGACCTTCACTTTTTGTTTTAAGGGCCACATCTAGTGAATGTGTTGATTTGCTTGATTATTTATGAATGGCTGCTGGTATTGTCTTTGGTATTTTTAAAGTCAAAATATATCACTTGTCTAAAATTTCTTTATAGATTTAAAAAATTTTTTATTAAGAGACTGGCATCTTGAAAAACAAGTGGAATAATGACTGCCCAAATGACTTCCATGTCAGTTATAGAAAATGCTTTGGGAGGAGGATAACTTGGCAGACTAAACAGAAGTTTAAAACAAGTTTATTATCTTTAAATGGGAATTTCCCTAAAGTACTTTGTTATACTCTAGGGATGCCCAATATGTATGCGTTTTTCTACAGCTATTTAGTAGACTTAAGTAGCAACCCTTTTTTGGCAGTCTAGGCCTAAAGTTTTTGTGTTGTAGAAATAATTTGCTTATGCAGATTATTTATATTCATTTTAGGAATAAGGCGTGTTGGAAGAAGACCTGATCAACAACTTCAGGGTGAAGGAAAAATTATTGATAGAAGACCAGAAAGGCGACCACCTCGAGAACGAAGATTTGAAAAGCCACTTGAAGAAAAGGGTGAAGGTGGCGAATTTTCAGTTGATAGGTAAAGATTAAAAAAAAAAAAACCTCATCATGTTTTATCAGTTTATAGAGTCACATCTTAAATTAAAACTATAAATTGGGTATAATTGCCAGATGGCAATATGGATAATTCTGTTAGTTTTTCAGAGGTAAATGTCTGAATTTTGGCATTGTCACACTTTAGATCTTTGGGTAAGAGTTCAGACTTAGATCTCCTATAATGAAACTCTTTAGTTGATTGATGGCCAGTTTCTTTTCCCCTCTCTCCCCAGATGTGGAGGCAGAAGGAAAATATTATTGGTTAATAGTTTATAGCAAAACATATTACTTGTTAAGCAGGTTAGATGTGTCTATTTTAATTTTAAGTCTACTGGTAAATGGTAGTTTTATTGAATTATAATGTGTGATGAATAGCAATGAAAAAGTGTACGTACCGTGTTTCCCTGAAAATAAGACCTACCCATAAAATAAGCCCTAGCAGGATTTCTAAGCATTTGTGCAATATAAGCCCTACCCTGAAAATAAGACCTAGTGATGGGCGTGGCTTCGCAACATATCTGCACAACCCATGCATTTTGTCGCAGAGCAGTAAAGAAGACCAGCGGCCCTTCTCATCTGTCCCTCTGCTATCCCAGAGGTGACTGGAAACGTGCAGGCATCCCCACCAACAAGGTCGGCTTCCCCTGTCAGGTCCTGGCCATCCTGTGCATGCTGCAAGCTGAGGCTTTGAGGGTTTTTTGAGACAGAGTTTTGCTTTGTTCCCAGGTAGAGTGAGTGCCGTGTGTCCAGCCTAGCTCCAGAACCTCACACTGGCTGAGCTCATAGCAATCCTGTGCCTCAGCCTCCCCGAGTAGCTGGGACTACATTGCATGCCCACACATGCCCGGCTAATTTTTCTATATTATTAGTTGGCAATTATTCATTTCTTATTTATAGTAAGACAGGGTCTTGCTCATATCAGCGCTGGTTCAAACTCCTGACCTCAAGTATCCCCTGCGTCGGCCCAGAGTCTGGATTACAGGCGCTGAGCCACCACCCTGGCCGGATCTTTTATTTATGTTAGTATGCCTATAACCAGTTCCCCAAATGTTGATAGTTTATTTTGTTATCATGCGTGGTGCAATTTTTCTCTCTACTGTGATTCCTCACAACGTATAACATTTGGGTGCCCAGACTGTGAGAACAGACTGCCAGGACTCTATGCATGGAATTGGGAGAGGCACTAAACTCAGGTTTCTTTTCGTAAAAGGGGGGTGGAGGTAGAATCTTAATACACTTTTATTTGTATTCTGAAAATTAAAGGAAATAATGCCATGTAAGTACTTAGACAGTTGTCTGAATAGTAAATGATCAAACTGTAGTACGCACTGATATTTATAGAAAGTTAGTAAAGAGGTTGAGATTATTAGAAATGGGTGAAAACAAGGTTGTAATGTGGTAAAAATGAGTACTGTTTATTACAGATCCTAGCAAATGAGTGGAAGGAGTATATATTATGATCTACATTTTGTTTTACATTAGGAACATATATTGGATATGGAATCTGGCATTTGGATAGTTTTCAGCAATTTTGCTAGAAACTCTTTTGAGAAGCTTTGCTATAGATAAGCTGTGAAGTTGCATGGATATTTTTCAGAGAACAAGATGTGATTCAAGTATTGTACAGAAGGCTAATATTTAGGCTATTTCTTTTTTGAGACAGAGTCTCACCTGTTGCCAAGACTAGGGTGAGTGCCGTTTCGACTCCTGACCTCAAGCAATCCACCTGCCTGGCCTTCAGAGTGTAGGTTACAGGCGTGAGCCCCCGCCCGGCCTAGCCATATTTCTAATCAGTGGTATCTATGATAGACATGGTTGCTTTCAAAAATCAGCCTTTAATTTGAACAACAAGTCTGCCATGAAATCTCCTTTCCTCCTTCTGTGTATTTAACACCATATTTTCCTTACTTAGAAGTGCAGGAACTTTAAGTATTTTAATATTAAATTCAGTATTATATTTTAAGTTATTAGGATAAATGAAACATTAAGCAATATAGTTATAAAATAATGATGAAAGATGGTAAAAAGACTTACCTCTTAACTTTTTTGTATACTTTTAAAAGGGGCTTTAGGCGTGGCGTGGTGGCTCACGGCATATAATTCTGCGGCGGATTGCTCGAGGTCAGGAATTTTGAACCGGAGCCTGGCAAGAGCGAGACCTGTCTCTATGAATAGAAAGAATTAATTGGCCATAATATATATAACGAAATTAAGCCGGCATGGTGGCCATGCCCTGTAGTCCAGTCTACTTGGGAGGTGAAGGAGGAGGATCGCTTGGCCCAGGAGTTTGGGGTTGCTGTGAGCGTAGGCTGATGCCACAGCACTCACTCTAAGCCTGGACAACAAGTGAGATTCGTGTCCAATAATAATAAATAAAAATAAAATGGGCTTTAAATTTTTTCTGATCACCAAATTCCATGAGAGAACAAGAGGTGAGAAGGGAATTGGGAAGTGTTTGCAGATCTCCCTTTCCTGCACAGTTTAATATAACATTTAATATGGTATCTTTTTTTTTTCTTTTGGTATGTCTGTGAATTATGGTTCTTAAATAGGTAAATTCAGGAGGCATAAGTGAACCTCAGAAATCATAGCCAGACATTCTCTATGTGTAGCTTATTTTAATATTCTATTGTAATGATGCTTGGTGTCATGAAGATCTGTTCGGAGAACTAGAGATCTGCAATGGGAGGAGAAAAATGACTAATGACAGATGACAGACCCATCACATTCCCCAGATTGTAGTATGAGTGGCAAGTTATTTAACTCTTTTTTTTTTTTTTGAGACATGGTCTCACTCTGCTGCTGGGAAAACTAACGAGGCATCATCATAGCTCACTGGCAACTCCAACTCCTGGGTTCCAGTGATCACTCTTGCTCAGCCTCCTGAGTAGCTGGGACTTCAGTACACGCACAGGTCTGACTAATTTTTCTATTTTTTGTAGAGATCAGGTCTCGCTCTGCTCAGGCTGGTTGAAGAATCTGAGCTAAAGTGGTCTTCTCACCTTGGCTCCCAGAGTGCTGGGATTACCGGGGTGGCAATACACCTGGCTCTCCTTAACTTCTTTGTGCTTCATTTCCCTTACCCTAAAGTAGGAATATAATATCTTTCTTACAGAGTTGATGTGAAGATTAAATGAGATCAACACATAACTGCACTAAGCGCATAGTAAATATCCACGTTTTATTGACATGGTTATTATTGCGGAAACTGGAAAAAGATAAGAAGAGGACTTTAGTTGATGTCTCAAAATGCAGATATTACAGCCTTGGTGAAGAAAAATGATTGTTAACAGTATGGAGTCTTCCAACTGCACTTGAGTTATTTTCAAAGGGTGGGAAGAGTATGGTCAAAAGCTCCTGTCGTGATAGATGCACAAGAGCCAGAGCCTGTGGAAGAAGGGTGAAATAAGGTGTGCATGGAGGTGAGAGGGATGAACTAAGGCAACAGGGAAACAAGTGACTTTGAGTAGTGGGAAGAGGATTGAGAAACAGAAACATGAGGCTTGCTGCCACATGCCTGTGATATGACTCTGTCTTCTATTTCCCTCTTAAAGAATTGATTTTCAGAAATTTGATAAGATTACAATCGCCATATTACATACCCCGACATGCAACAATGTTTAAATTATATTGGAAATTGAATAACTGACTGGCTTCTATCAGGACAGAGCCAGGATCATGAGTTGATGTCAAATTCATAGTGGAGTTAGAGACTGATTTAGTGCCTGCGTAGCACTTACAGAGGTGTGAACTTGCTAAGACATTACACTCTGAAATGGTTCTTCATCTGTGAAAAGAGGGAAAAGATTTACTAACAAGATGTTGAGATTGTCATTCATAGCACTTGCCAAAATAAGAGGTGTATTTTCTATATATTTTGTGTTAATGGCAAGGGTTTAAAAATTTTGATATATTTAAACAACAATGTTACTAAATGTGTTTCAATATGCACTGACACTACAGTATCTTAATGAACTATAATATTATCAACCAATATCGATGCTTTTAGTCATTACTAAATTAAATTCGCTGACATGATTTCCTACCCTCACTGCATTCCCTGCACATATAACAGTCAAATGCTCTAAGTTATTTCTTGGGCACATTTTTAACAACACCATAGCCACCTAAACTTGGCTTGCAGACACTAACGGACAATTAACTGGATGATTCTAGAAAGTGTTTCCACAAACAGTGCTTTTTGGAGACCTGCCCAGTGTCTAGTGCTGCACTATCAGGAGTTAACAACTCCTTAAAGCACCGGATGGCAGCCCGGCCTGCGAGCCGGGAAAGGCGCGCAACAGAATCCATTTGATCGTTCAAGTGTCTTTTTGGCTAGTTCAATGTCCTCCTGAGAGAAGTATTGTCCCCGTCACATAAACAGAAGAGCCTCGATTCATTATAGAGGGTGAAGGAGGGCGACTCCAGCCACTGGGCCCTAGGGACTTGGCGAGACCGGGTCTGCCACTAGAGGCCAGCGCCGCACCTCAGCAACACTCCCCTCCCCGCGGAAGTTTGTGTATTCCAGATGTAAGGTCTGGGAGTCACCTTGACCCTCCTGGAGCGGTGGGGAAAGTGAGCTATGGGCAGGAGGCGGGTGAGTGAAACCAAAGACCGAGCACTTTCGCGAGCAAATACGCCGTCACGCTTTCCTGGTTTCAGGGTAGCCCGAAGACCTAGAGAGTTTAAGGGTGGCAGAGCAGGTGGCGGCTCCGCCCACCACCACCACGCATCCCCTCCTTCAGCGCGCACGCTTCACTCCCTCCGTGGGTCCCGCCTCTTAGGCGAGCGCGAGAGTTGCCGCGCGATGCATTCTGGGAATTGTAGTCCCGGCGCAGGGAGTCGCCTCAGGAGAACTGTTCTGCCTACATAACCCAGGGTGCCCTGCGGCGCAGGCCGCTCCGGATGTGTGCCTGGCGCGGAAGAGAAACAGCCCCCTCTCTCGCCCGGCCATCTTGTGGAAGAGCTGAAGCAGGCGCTCTT